ACGACCTGAACTTCTAGAAAGAATGACAAAGGATCAAGCAGGCAATTACATTGAGACTTGAGAGGGCTCTACAATTTAATGTATCATCACAATAAGAAAAATATTCAACTTACCTAATATCTCTTCAATTGTTGTTCCCAGGGTGGTTGAATCTAGTTCATCTTCAGTTATTACCCTTGAACCTGCTACATCTGCCATTAGAGAAGCATTTTTCAACTGATGTCCTTCTTCTGCAAGTGGTGATGGTATCTACAAAGAAGAGAGAGAGATTGCATAAATGGGGTCTTTAGGTCCTCATTGAAATTAAATTCCATGTCATCTTTTACCTAACATGACTATATAAAGAATTCTGTCAATAGGTTTTGAATTTTTACCTCATCTAAACACATTAGAAATGCAATGAACACCTGTCACAGTTGGTAACAAGAATACAACGAACTTCAAACAGGTGATGATTAAGTTTCTCTTACCCCTAAATCACATCTTACATCAGTTTCTTGCAATACCATCTCCATAAAAGTAAATTGTGGAATGAGTTGTCAAGTTAATACTAAATAATAAACAATGTGATTGGCAGGTTCTAAGATATCCTTTAGTCTAGCTTTTTATTTGACAGGAAGTGTCCTTATTAAATTAATATATTGCTTAGAATAGCAGAGCAATTGAGTATCTGGTATACTGCATCGTCCTCTTTGTCTGAAGTTTTATATTAATATCACAGCAAGAAAAACTATCAAGCAATTTCTACAGCTATATGGACTCAACAAGTATGCAAAATTTGGAAACTAGATGATTTTGTGTTTCAACCTTCAAATTAGAAAACCTATCTTGCTTCATCTGATTAAGTACAACACCAAATACTAACATCTCGAACATAATTCTAGCTAATTTGCATTACTCATAATGAAAAATGAGGGTTATGTCAATGAACACTAATCCAAAGAGAAAAGAGAAGAACTTCTCATTTACCAGAATAGCAGGTTTCCCAGTAGCTAAAATCTCAGAGCATGTCATTGCACCTGCTCTAGACACAACAAGGTCTGCAGCAGTATATGCCAAATCCATGGAATGCAGGAACCTACACAATTTCATAACTACATCAAATTCAAGGAGAGTGTAAATGCATAATTTTGAATCTTGAAACATAAGAAAAGGGTGACAGCCAGTAATCTACTTCTTGCCAAACTAGCTAAAGCACAAAACTTGAAGAATTTCACCTTTTTTGCAGGTCTCCTATTTTATGATTTCACTTTTGAACAAGAGATTATATCATATGGTGTATAAATAAATAAGAGATTTAATTGAATTATAATCAATTTATTAATCATAACAAAAGAAGCAGAAGAACTTACTGAGTCAAAACCAAATGTGGATGATTCCTAACAAGGCTTTCCATTTCATTATAAGCCTCAACCCCAGTTTGCCATATAATAAACCAATTCTCATGTTCAAGCAACAGTTGACTATAAAGGTTCAACAAAGCAATATTAATAGTATTAGCACCCAAAGACCCTCCAAGCACCAAAATAACCTTAGCCTCCTCGTTCCCACCAGAACTTGGAAAAAATTTCTTTCTAGCCACTGCCTTTGAAAGGGACTTCCTTAAAGACAATCTTATAGGATTCCCACTAACCAAACACTTATTTTTCCTGGAAAAACACTCAACTGTAGAATTATAAGCCACAAAAACAATCTCAGCAAAAAAGGAAAGAATATAATTTGCAATGCCAGGAACAGAGTTCTGTTCTTGAATCACAACCTTGATTCCTCTAATTAAAGCAGCAACACAAGTAGGGAAAGAAACATAACCCCCTGTCCCTATAACAATATGGGGATTAAATTCCTTTAATAACTTAAAGCTATGGATGGTGGATTGTATCAAATGAAAAGGAAGGGAAAGATTTCTCAGCGAAAATAGTGGGCGATATAGCCTCACAGGTGGAATAGAAGAGAAAGGATAGCCAGCAGAAGGAATGGAGGCACTTTCCATACTGTTCAGAGTTCCTACGAAAAGAAATTGGGCATTGGGTTTTGCTGTTTTGAGCTCATCTGCTATTGCCACCGCCGGGATTATATGTCCTCCGGTCCCACCCGCCGCAAAAACCACCCGGAGATTGCTTATGGGTTGGTGTTGGCTTCGGGCAGCGTTTAAGGCGACGCCATGGGTATCATTTGAATGCTTTATCGATATGCAACACAGAATCTGTGGGGACCTGCAACAGAAACAAATAATCTCAGAGACAAGAAGAATAAAGTATATACACATTTTTACAAAAGAGAGAAAATTGCCTGGGTTTGGTGGGGAAAGAGAGAAGAGAAGGGTACAATGGAAAATTTGATGGGAAGGGATAAGGAGAACGGAGGAGAAGGTGGTGGCGGTTGTAGTGGTGGTGGAAAGTGGCCATTGAAGATGGAAGTGAGCATTAGTTATGTTTTGTCTAGTGTGAAAACAAAGAAGTTTGATCTCTCACTGGTCAGTGGAAGTGGAAGAGAAAATGGAAAGAGAGAGAATTGACAATCGCATGATCAACACGTGGCTGACGTGCGCGCGAGAAAAAACACGGGACTTCTATTTCTAATAAAAGTAAAGAGAATTTCTCTCCTCCAAAGAAAAGTAAATAATGAAAATAATTTTTTATATAGATGATTATTATATTTTATTAAAATATAATTCATTAATAATAATATCAAAAATTAAAAATAAGCTTATAAATCAAATATATAATTTTACTATTCGTAGCGAATAAAGAAAAATCATAAAACAAATAATTAATAAACTAAAAAACTAATTAAGTATTAGCTTATATTTATAATTTTTATTAAATTTTAATACTTTTAATGTAACTAAGTTTTATAAAAAAAACTTTTATTGTAACTAATATGTTGCCAAGTAAAATATTGATATTTTTTTCTGTCTCTAAAATAATTATAAACTAAAAAATATATGAAATATTATCTAATTTTTAAAATTTTATAATCTAATAATTAAAATTACTTATGGTAATATATAATAATTTATAATTATGCCTTTGAACACGATTGACTCGTTTTTAGTTTTTGTTGCATTGTAAAAATTAATATCGGCTATTTGAATCACAATGTTTGAGCCAATAATGAACGTTTGGAATAAAAAAAATTTCTGGGTTATCGATCTTTTTTTATTGTATGTGCTAATCAGTAAGTCGAAAATGGGAAAAAGAAAGAAGACAGCCTTTGGATGTTCAATGCCTATGGATACTGTATGAATGGATACGGACGAGAAGGAGCTTTTGACGAAGATGGCGAGGATGATGATGATGATGCTTTTATTACCTTCCGAGCGTATAGTATCCAAACATTTATCATTTACCATTAAACACAAATATACAATTTAATATTTTAAAAAGATTAAGGAAATTTATAATCACTCATCAGATAGTGATTTGATTGGTCATCTCATTTAAATGAACACTAATGAAGTAAAAGGTTGAGAATTTTTTAAAATGAAAGTAAACAATATACAGAGAACCATTCGAACTTCTCCCGTCTCTTTATAGGTTTATGAACATCCATTTTAATTCTAATTTGTATGTAATGTCTCTAAGCCCCACTATTGTTCTTAGACTCATACTCCACTAGCCCTCCAAGGTCCTCCAATCCACACTCTCCTTATATCCACAACATGAAAAAATTGAAATAAAAATACCTTAGGCTCAATCTTATAAATGTATCTTCAACTCAATCTCCATAGACTTGCCAACGCACTTGTCGCTGCGCTGCAATTCACTTGCCTATCAGTAAGCAAGCGTCCATTAGACATAGTGAATAATCAATATGTTGAGGTACTTCTAAAGTAACAGGTGCAAACTCAAATCTTCATCATGAGCCAAAGCCAGATTTTCATTATTTTTCTCCATGCTCCGATCCATGATACCGATCAAAAACTAAATACTCAATAAAAAAAAAATAAAAAGAGAAGTAATACATACTCTCATGCATAAAACAAGTGGTTCCGTTTAAGAAAATATTATACTTAATTAGTTATTTAAAGTAATAATAAAATAATTTATTATGGAATAAGATTAAGTAAGTTAATAAATAATATGATTTTATTAAAATAATGTGGAAAATCATAACTTCATGTCATTAGATTATTTAAATTTGATGGATGTAGACTCTTTGATGGCAAACTAAAACTTCATATACAGCCAAAAAAAAAAAACTCTTGAAGACGTGAAAAAATGTACATAATGAAAATCGAAACAGCTCCCTAAACTGGATCTGACACCAATTTTTGTCCTTTAGTCGAAAATGTTGGTGGGTGATTGGATTCCATGTTATATGAAAATTTAATAAATTTTCCTTTCAAAAAAAAGAAACTTAATAAATTTATGATAATGTGAATCTGTCTATATATTAATATATAGACGTAGACACACTTCACCATAAATATTATAATTTTAATATCATACTATTTGCCAAGAAATTTTATTATTTTAATATTATAAAAAGAGATGTGATATACTAAAATTTATAAACATAAATGTACACTAAGTCATCCATAAAATTCAACGTTAAAATTAAAAGTTTAAGAATGAATTAATTATATCTTCGGCCTTCAGCAAAACATAATGAAATAGTTATAAAGATATTCATCTAATGTAATCGGTATTACATTTACCAAACGTTACATGGAGTATTTGCCTTTTGATTTTTGCGTTCTGACTAAAAGCAGGTCTATCCACGAAGTAGACGTCTGAAATATCCCATGCCGAGATGGCCTTTGTAAATTGTGCTTTTTTTTCTTTTTTATTTTTTTATATATAATCTTTTTAGACCATAAAGATTAAAGATTTTTTATTCTTTGAATAAAGTATATTTTTCGAAAATAAAACTTGTGTTTTTGCTCTTACGAAAATTGAAAAATTTTTCACTATTTCAATCGGTATTCTTTCAATTCTCTTATCATTTCAATCAACATCTTATTATTTTTTGTAAATTGTTTTTAATTTAATTTTTCTTTGAAAAGTAACTCGAGTTAATTGTCATTTCAGTTCAATTTTGCAAGTAAAATTCACCTATTTAATTCTACTGCATCTGCCGTATAAGGGGAAGCGCTCCCCACTTGAAGGGACCCGAGTTCTTTCCACCGAAAACAATCTCATGATACCTATTTATTCCTTTTTTATAAAGCATGAATTTCGACATAAAATCTTTGAGTCTTAGAACCTCAACTTTATCAACTAGACTAAAGGCTTTTGGGTAAAATTAACTATTAGATTTCAGTTCTTTAACTAACGTCTCATCAAATGGTAAAATGAATAATATTTCAAAATATGCTTCCTTAAATTCTAAACACTAATATAAATATTATATTACCGATTACTATAAATGGTAGAAATAATATTTTAATCTTAATTAAAACGCTAAATGTTATATGAAAAATTATTGCCGAATAAAGTCTAAATCCTCATTCCGCATTTATCCAGAAGATGAGAAAATTGCATATACAATGCATATATATAATTACTCAATTGCAACATAAAATGTTTAAAAGAAAATTTTTGTGTGCCTAAATTAAATTTAATAAAATTGAGCTTGACTAAAATTAATTAATAGCTCAAGTAATAAGTTGACGCAAATTCAAGTATTTTAATATTCTGATTAGTTAATGTAGATTGACGAAGCTAATTTATTATATAATTATTTTAATATAATTTGAAAGAAATTTTATCAAATGTGTCTAGTTGATCTTATTATTTACGTGATAAGTGTAAGGTTTCAGGTTCAAGACCTTTCTATCACAAAATTTTTTGCTAATACGCCGAATAAAGGAAGAGCTAACTCTTATCACGTAGATTATAGCACATAATTATCTTTTGGGCTGATTGAGTCTCTTTACGAATAAAAAACAAATTCATATTATATTCTCTTATTTAAGTAATAAATAATTTACTCAAATTTAGCCCAAATATTCTCTCTTTTTTTTTTTTTTTTTTTTTTTTTTTTTTTTATAAAGGAAGAGGCTAACTCTTATCAACGTAGAATTATAGGCACATAATTTATCTTTTGGGCTGATTGAGTCTCTTTAGCGATAAAAAACAAAATTCATATTATATTCTTTATTTAAGTAAATAAATAATTTTCTCAATTTATGCCCAATATTCTTCTTTTTTTTTTTTTTTTTTTTTTTTTTTTGTTTTTTTTTTTTTTTTTTTTTGTTTTTTTTTTTTTTTTTTTTTTTTAAAAGGTCAAATATGTGGTCCATTCAGTAAACAGTGATTGTTGAAAAACGTAATAGATAAATGTCTAACAACAATTAAGTAAAATTTTTAATTTTTTTTTTTTTTTTTTTTTTTTTTTTTTTTTAAAAGGTCAAATATTGGTCCATTCCAGTAAACAGTGATTTGAAAAACGTAATTAGATAAATGTCTAACAACAATTAAGTAAAATTTATTAATTATTGTATTAATTATTTTCCAACAATTTAATTGTACAGAATATTGATCCCCCTCAAAAATTAAATAATAATAGTATTAATTCAGTGGCTGTGAGGTTCCAATTGGGTGCATGGTATTGCTTGTTATTGGCAACTGATTTGAAGCATCTGCTAGCGCAACAGCAGCAGCTGGGTTCATAGTTTGGTATTGAGAAGCAGCTTGAATCTGATTGTAATACATTTGATCAGCTGTAGCTTTACCATATTCAAAACCATAATTAGCAGCGACAGCAATTGATTGCGATGGAGCATAGCCCACATATTGTTGCTGAGCAGGAACTAATGGTGGGGTCGATGTAACCGCAGTCCTATAAACTCCTGCAGCCATTTCAGGCTTAGCCACCGTAGCAACTGCAGCTTTTGTGGGATACAACGGCGGATGAGCTGCAGATGCAGCAATTCTGTTACTTGTTACAGTAGCAGAAGTTGTTGCTGTACCTATAATATTAGACTGCATGGACATGTATGGTTGCGTTTGTGATATGGGCATTATATAAACAGGGTACTGTTGCTGGTGATCAATTGGTTGCGGCGGAGGAGGAGCGTAAACTGGATAGTAAGATGACATTGGTAATGGTGTTGTTGCTGCCTGTGGGATAAAATGGGAGTTGGGGTTGTGTACTAAATGTTGTTGCTGATCAAATTGAGCTAGCGATGTGTAGCTGGCGTTTTGAGCTTGTTGGATTTGGATTTGAGAGGTTATCGGAACTGAAATGTCTAATCTTGTGTCTGGACTGATAGCACTTCTGTTTTCTCCTAATCCAACTTGAGCTTGTTCTTGATGATGCGTAGGCTTTGTGAAAGAATTAGCTGATGCTATGCTTGTATCGCTGAAAAAACAGATATATGTAGTGAGATGATCAATCATAGATCTTGGAGGGAAGTTTGGAATAGAAACTTAATTATGAACAGATAGGAATGGAAATAAAAGGAATTTTAGTCGATACCAACTAGTTTGACAATAAAGCTTTGTTGTTTTTGTAATTAATTAGTGCGTTTAGCAAGAATTTCTTTATATATATTAAAATAGAACAATTTGTGTTGATACAGTTTCATTCAATTAGTCATACCAAAGTTTCCCTTCCTCAAGATTTTACCTAATCTTGAAACCATCATTAAGAAAAAGAACATTAAACAGATTTGGATATTTATGTACATACCTTGCAACCGAATCTGGCGAAGGCAGATTATAGCTAGAGGCACCAACAGCCTTGTGTTGTACGGTCTGCAATAATGGCAATGGTGGTTTGCGAAATGTAACAGGCACAGTGCCCTGATCTGATCTATCATCGTCAGATAAAACCCTATTTAAATGCTCACTAGAACCACCCGCCGGATTAATCGATGCCACCGTCCCAACCACGGCAACAGTAGTAGGAAGTGGAGGAGGAGCAGCAGACATAAGACCACCACCATACCCATCATCTTGCTTCTGCAAAACTTGCGCAAAAGTCATCCTTGCAAATTGTTCTTCTATTCCCGCTTTATGAAGAGAATCTTCCACTCGAACACGAATAGGTGGAAGATTCGACATTGAAGGAGATGAAGAAGATGAGGAACCATTTTCCACCATAGGTGAGTCAGGCAGTTCATGTTGTACTACTGGAATTTCATTAACACGAGGAATGGTCATTTCATTCAGCATAGCTTCTTGTAAATCGCTATTACTTTCCAGTTGCGCTTCCAAATCATGATTGCGGTGATTATTATCAAGATTGACTAAGCAATCAATGGTAGCAGAGTCGGAGAGATTTCTTGAAATTAAACAAGTATTGTTAAGCGCGTCAACAAACCATGTTTCTGATTTGGCATCATCAAGTAGTGAACCCATTGAAGCTGCGGTTTCAGGCTTTGTAAAGAAAATGAACAAGCGAATACGAGAATTAGGAGCTGAAGCTGATGAACAAGAAGAAGTTATACGATCATATTCTTCAACCATATTATCAAGATCTTCATCTGTAGTAACCGATACTAAAGAGTCGAGGTCTTCATGTGGAAGTTGGTATTTTAGAGAGAAAGGACGTCCGTCAAGAAGAGTACGGGAAAGGCGAGAGGTTAACGAAGAGAGAGATGTGTGGCGGTCAACGACTACCATTCTTGTGTCGCCGCCTACGTAGCAGAGGGATTTGTCGTGTGGGCGAGGGATAATGTGACCGCCATAGCTGCACATTAGGCGGAGTTTGGCACCGGGAACTGGTGGGAGTGGCTCGTTGAATATTTCAGCAGTATGGGACCGAGGAGAGGACTCGACGGAGTCAGGATAGTTCAGGTGCATACTGGTCGGCGTAGTGGAGGTTGTGGTGGTGGCAGGAGGGTAAAGGGGAGGAGGATCCATGAACGGTGGAGATTTGACTAATCTGTTTGGGTGGACAGTGAAGGAGAAGATCGGAAGCAAAAAGAGTAGAGTTGATGGTTTTATACTTAAATGATTTATTTATTTATTTTGTTACTTCAAATTTTGGAGAAAAAAAAAATATATAAATGTTTGTGCTTTGTAATATTTCGAGGCTCACTTGCTAGGTTCCATGCATCATCAATTTAAATGCCAACTTCCAGTAATTTAGAGGATGTGTATCCATCAATCAACTTAATGTATCCCCTTTTTATTATTATTATTATTATTATTATTATATTATACCATAGTGTTTCTTTTTTATTACTTCCATTTATATTCAATAATAATATTTAATTTTAATAATTTGTAAAAGAAAATTTTAATTTGAATCTTTAGCTAAAAATTCTATTCTATAAATCACTTATAGATGTTAAATATATGAAAAATCAATTTATAATACAAGTCCAATTCATAAAGTTGAAAATTATTAATTTTTTATTAATCAAAAATTGATTTAGTAAGAGATGAATGTCAGACAATATACTTTTAAAATTACATGGTAAGAATATAGTTAAGGTGCAATAAGCTCAACATTATAAAAAACATAAGCTTATCGTCCATTAAATTGTAAAATTATAACCTACGAGTTATGGTTCAGTTGACAACGCAGACTGAGCATGTGGGAAGAGCTCTCGGATTTAATTCCTAATAATAGAATCCGGATACCGGTGATTTACACAAAAAAATTGTTGTAAAATTATATTGAATTAGTATAATTATTTTGATTTATATCTGATTTTTAAAATAAATATATCTCCTATTCGGAGGTTCTCAAAGAGTCAGGAGCAATGGTAGATACACATTAAAAAATGGGGTTTAATTAATCTTTTTTGTTTATAAAATTCCTGTAAATATTTATTGATATTTTCAAATTTACTCCCTTAAGATAATAAACCCTTCTCATAATTAGCATAATTGATAGTGGTGTGTAACCTAATCGGGATATCTAAGCAGCAAAGAGAATTTGCGGGATTAATCACCATGATTTATATTATGAGTTCGATCCTCCATAATGTAAATTCCCTCAGGTAAACTCTTTTCCATCAAGGGCGAGCGGGAATTAGTCAGATCTCCAAAGGAAGGTGAGCAGATACCTCATGCACCATTAAAACGGACATGTCAAATCTCTGCGGATAAGGATACCTCATGCAAGTATTAAAAAAAAAAAATTAAGAATTAATCAGGTCTCCCTCGTGCAAGTATTTTAAAAAAAATGAGGATTAATAGGTTTCTAAGGGTAAGCGGAGAATAATCAATTTTATGGACCGATAAAACTGACATTTAAAATAAAAATTGATAGTTGTGCGTGATCGTAAAGGTAGACATACATAATTGTAAATGAAGTTAGGGATTATAAAAGAGATCTAACCCTTAATCTCATATATATGATCTCAAAAAGTTTTGGCCCTTTGCTTTACCTTCAGATACGAGGAGGTTGTAATAGAAAATCAGAACCCAAGGCACCAGATTCGGACGCCAATGTACTTAAATATTCATTAAAATAATTAGATTTTTCAAATCCAAATACTTCGGTTAAAAAATTTGGTGCCACCTTTATGTTTTATTTTGACCTACTAAATTCTTTAATTTATAAAATTATATATGTTAAACACTTCAATTTATAAAATTATTTTATTGAACATTTTAATTGCAAAATTAAATTGATTAAACACTTATCAGATAATTAAAAATTATTATTTTAAAAATTATACTAACCACACGTCAACTTAACATTCTATATATAAAAATTAAAATCATTAAATAATTGTTATTACTAGTATAAAGAAATTTACAAAGTTACTAAAATTACTGACTTTAGAGCATAATGTCTACATAAAATATGAAGTGTTTTTTTTTTATAAAATAAATAAATGAATTTATACATTTGAAGGACTTTTCATTTATCACTAAATTATGAATTGAAGATTTATTTAATTATTTAAATAAGGTGTCGTTCTAATTTTCTTTTTTTTTATTCTGCATTTAAAATAGAATTAAGTCCGATTCAAAACAGAGTGATATTCAGGTAATGTGTTTTCAGTTTGTCTTTGTATGCAATCGATTTCTGTTGAAAAATATATATTTTTTTTTCACTGCATAATATATACTAGATTTTAATTTCTGTTACCTGATATTGAAAATAAAAAAGAAAATTCATTTCTACAGCTTTTTACAGCCCTCTTGATCACTGTATATGATCTGGCACAGCTAGATGCACGGTAAAGATGCACAAGCAAATCTATTTAGGAGTCACATGGTGGTTCATGGAACTCACAGCTTTTCTATCGTGTGGGATACTTTGTCCGTTGATTAATTATTATATATAAAAAAATATTTATTATTTAACAGTTGCATGGGCTCGTATATATACTCCCATACCTGTCCCGTTCAAGTCAACTATCTCAATATGGACAAATGCCTATGTCGGCTAATTTAAGAAATACACTATTATTTAATTAAAGAGTGTGGATGAGAAATGCTAAAATTTAAAGAGAAAAAAAAATGAAATGAAAAATATGAACAAAATTTATTATTTTATTTTATAATTAATAGAAAATATTATTAAAATCTATAATTAAGTAATTTATATCCTTAAAAATTATAATATATAAAATGTGATAAAGTTTGGAATCATGTTACAATTATGTTGAGTGTAGACTTAGACTTGGTCTGATCCTATATATAAATTCTGATATTTGGAAATTTATGTTTAAGTTTAATCAATTCACGACTAAAAATTGAAAATTTACCCTAATTAAAAACAGATTTCCTTTATAATTTTAATGACCATAGAAAGAGAGAATTTTCTAAATTAATATTTCATCTATTAACTATTATCTAGTAAGATAGTAAGAAAGAAATTAAATCATTTCGGAAGAAAGAGGGAAGTAATGAAAGAAGTTGGGATAAACTTGACTAGACTAGATTTTAGTGACGGAGTTGGAACCTAGTTGTATAAAATTCTTTATTTGTGCGTGATGTCAACAATAAAATTTGTAGCTTTTCGACATGAGTTCGATCTTGTTGGCTATAATTTTTTTTATGTTTTAGTTTATTTTTTTATATTATTTTAGTTAGTAAAACAACTTTAGTTAGTTTTTACATATACATAAGATCCTACAATTTTCGTAAATTATTATTTTTTTACCATTTAATGACTTATATCATTAATTTTAATTTTAGGTTATTTAATTTTATATTCTTTTTTAAATTTTAATTTTAAATTTGATTTCATTATATGATACATAAATTCACGTATAAATATACAATAGTATGATAAATTTATATTTCAATTGTTTATTATTGGTTATTTAATTAAAATTTAACAGCTTCAAAAAACTTGAGAATTCTAAATTTTTTGAATAGACATACATGATATTTAATTTTTTCAAAGAGATGGATTTAATATTATAATTAATAATTTTTAGAAAATAATATGAAATTGAATTGATTGACTTTTAAAATTATAATAATATATTTAAAATTTTAGACATATCATGATAATTTAATTTTTTTCAAAGAAAGATTGGATTTAATATTACTTAATTAATAATTTTTAGAAAAAGATGGATTTAATATTATAATTAATAATTTTTAGAAAATAATATGAAATTGAATTGATTGACTTTTAAAATTATAATAATATATTTAAAATTTCAATAATAATAATTATTTTCATTATAATTTCTAATATGTAAATTTTAGGAAATTATTTATTTCCTCTTGAAAGTCGTCATTATGTATGCTAAAAAATATCTCTATTATTTTATTATTATTTTTCATTAAAAAATTTTTGACCATATGTAATATATTTGCTTATGCAATTACACTATTTTTAGGCATTCTTTTAAATTACGTTTATTTTTCATTTATCCTGAGAAAATATATTTTTCCCCCTGTGAAAAAATTCTGGCTCCATCACTGACTGGGTCCACGACCTTATAAATATAACAAATCAATGAAAATAAAAGTTTTTATAGAAATGGTATATATTTGATCATACACCGAAAAAAAAGAGATAAAATAGGAATAATCTTTGACTGTAATGTTCAAAGAAAAAATTAATTTGAAAATGATAAGAGTACACTTTACCATTTTCTCAATTATAATACATAATTTAGTGCAAAGGGAAACATAAAACTCAAAGAAAATTAAACGTAAAACGACTGTAAATGAAACGAAATAGAAATAATAATTAATTATGGAAGATAAAATCAATTATCCGCACATATGAAAGTCAATCAATTTGCCTTCCCCACTTCTTTTCTCGATCAATGGCTCTTTAATTGCTGAATGGTCCACAAGATAGATTATTAAGAGCTATACTTCTATTTTGGTATTGAGGTATCAACTTTAAAGTTTAGATTAAGAGATGTATTTATTCGGATTATAACGAAATTACTATTGATTATATTTTATTTTTGAAAAAAAATCACCTAAAGATGTTTTATCGCACAAATATTTTAATTTCAATGAGAAGAATAAAAGTTGAATAGTTTAAAGTCAGCAGATAAATGTTTAAGAATTTGATAGGGTAAGCTCAATAAGTTCTACACTTAAAAATGCATTTTGCCAAATTATATTATACATGCGTTAAAATGATATTTATATAGAACTATCTAGATATTTTATAGAAAAATCTAGATATTAATAATTTTTTTTATATATTATATCCGAAAAGAGTAGTGATAATGTTTTGTCTTTTACTTTTTGTCTATGGGGTTATGCAATGAAGACTACAAAAAGGCATAGATAGCGCAAACCAAAAGCAAATGTTGTAAAATTTCTCCTTAGTTTCTATTCAATAAAATTCTATTCTATAACTAGCTAACTCCAGATACTATCTTATCTATTGCAGATGACGAATATGCAGATAGAAATAATTTCCAAAAGCTGCATTTCACCCTCTTCACCAACACCTCCCAATCTTAAAACCTACAAAATCTCCCTACTCGATCAATTTCAACAATCTGGCTATTACTCCATCATTCTTTTCTATCAAAATTATTCCCAACAGGCAAATGTAAATACGCAAAGATCATTCTTGTTTAAGCAATCCTTATCTGAAACTTTATCTCGATTTTATCCATTTGCTGGTAAAATTAAAGACAGATTTTCCATTGATTGTAGTGATGAAGGTGTATGTTATGTAGAAGCTACATCTAACGTTCCTTTATCTCAATATCTCTATCAACCTGATCTAAGATCATTCAACATACTGGTGCCAAATGCAATTCCTGAGTTTGAAATCCCTTTTGGATCTCCTGTTGCTTTGATTCAAGAAACCACCTTTGCATGTGGTGGCTTTACCATCGGTATATATATTTCTCACATGGTTTGCGATGCATACAGTTTGGTTTTGTTTCTAAAAGACTGGGCTGCTACTGCATCTAAATCACCTTCCAAACCCCCTTTGTTAGATGGAGAATCCATTTTCCCACAATACACTGCATTTCCAAGAGAGGTGGGTTCTGCAATTCCCTACGCCTCTTTTTTAAAAACATGCAAGCTCATCGGAAAGAGGATTGTGTTTAACGAATCTGCTATTTCCAATCTCAAAGCAAAAGCAAGTTTGAACAACATTAATAATCCTACCCGCGTTGAGGTGGTCATTGCAATTCTTGTCAAACGCCTCCTGGCTTCTTTCAAAAGTAAAACTGGTATCGAGAAACAACTAGCAGTAAACTATGCCGTGAATTTGAGACAAAAAGGGGAGCCGCCGTTACCAGAAAATTTACTGGGGAACTTTGTTAGGAATGTTGGTATAGTATTCACATTCAAAGAGGAGTTGGGTGAATTGGTGAATCAACTAAGAGAGGCAATAAAAAGAGTGGATAATGATTTCTTGAAGAAGATAAAAAGTGGAAGTGGAGGTGAAGAAGGATTCGTCAAGTGTTATAATGCAGTGAAAGAGATAGGAGATTTGTTATTTACTGCTCCGCCATGTGGGAGTGAAGTAATGGAGTTAGCTTTCTGCAGTAGCCATTGTAATTTTGGTATATATGAGCTTGATTTTGGTTGGGGAAGGCCGATATGGGCAGCTTATGCTCTGCCGTATGTGGATGATTCCGATAAGCCATATATGAATGCGATTCTTTTGACGGATACAAGAATAGGTAAAGGAGTGGAAGCATGGGTAATATTGGGCGAAGATGTCTATGATTTTTTAGATAAAGACACGGAGCTTTTTCAATATGCTTCCATTGACCCATCTCCAGCGATTATTATGAATAAATTATAATAATAAATTATCAATTATTCTAAAAAAATAAATTATCATTAATGTATTTCCTTTTTTAAGAATAATTTATGTCTCTACCTGAATGTTGAATTAATGAAAGGTCTGCATGTATTGGAGTTCAGTATTATTTGGCATTTACATGTTTCAAAAGTTTCTTATTGTTTAATTATAAACACCTTGAAAATACCACCTAAATGAATAGCACTAGCTATAAAATTTTGTATTTTCAATTAAATTAAATTTTGGAACTTATCAAAATAAAAATACAAAATAATAAAATTTTCAATCATGCAATTAAGAATATCATTGAAAAACTTAAACAATTTTGGTGTAAAAACTGTTTTGGAATTTTGGCAAGGAAGTTTATATATAAATATTACGCATTTTCCAATAAGGCATTAAGGTTTAAGATTTTATTTCACTATTTAAGGCAATAAGTTATTAAATTTACAATAATTTTGTACCCTATTTTAGTAATTTCATTATATAAATTAGGGATATATAAGCTCTTCAGAAGAAAAAAATAGGGATATATAAAGGTATAGTAGTCTCAAATCTCAATTAGGGATTCTTTATATAAATTTCAAGAAGGGTTCAAACTTTATTTTTGTAAGTCATGATCACTTTCCACCATTAAAAATAGACTGTTATTAAAATTTAATTTTTGTTTTAATGTTAAAAAAATCTACACACACACACTATATATATATATGTGTGTGTGTGTGTGTGTGTGTGTGTGTGTGTGTGTGTGTGTGTGTGAAGCGGAAAAATTATATATGTGCCCTGTGTTAGTGCAAAGCCATTGATTGTTTGTTGCACATCTGGTCAACAATTTTCTCATCAACGATGAATCCATCATTTCCACATTCTCTAATTTTTCTTCCTTCCAGGTCGCCATTAATTACAGACACTCTTAATAATTACGTGAAAAGGTCTGATTTCCTGTCTCTCTCTCTTTATTAATTTATTACATCAAATGTATCCCATTTTTGTTTAAGTTTCTCGGAAGAAAAAAGGGTTTTCTTAGAAATTAACTATCTATCAAAACGCCCTGATTAAGAAAATCAATTTATTTTGTTTTATTAATTATTCATCAGGAACATTAATTGTTTATGTACAGATATGTTAGAATCTCACACATTACAATCTCATGGAGTTAAGGTGGTAAAAATACACATGCATGACTGGCTAATTCTTCTATTACTTGTGGTGATTGATGGCTTTTTGAACATTATTGAACCTTTTCACCGCTATGTTGGCAAAGGGATGATGACAGATCTAACATACCCACTTAAACCTAATACAGTGCCGGTTTGGGCTGTTCCTGTACGTATTATTCTCTTCCAATTTTACTTCTATTTTAATTATCAATCATAATATTGAATTCCCATTAATCATTTGTTTCTTCTAAAACTTTTATGTTTAAGAAAAATGTTCCTGATGATTTTTGTCTCCTGTTTGGATAGATTCTTGCTGCAATTTTGCCACTAGCTGTCATATCTGCGTACTATTATTATAGAAAGGATGTTTATGACTTTCACCATGCCATTCTGGGTATTTTTCTACTCTTAATCCACTTTTCCATTTCCTAATTAAATCATTTTGGATGAGTATATAAAATTAATAGCTAATAATTGTGTTATTACATTATATATGCATGCAAGTTCAGGCCTATTGTTTTCTGTTCTTGTTACTGGAGTTATAACCGATGCAATAAAAGATGCTGTAGGCCGACCCAGGCCTAATTTCTTTTGGAGATGTTTTCCTGACGGAAAGGAGGTAAATATATAATATGTCTCCATTTTCATGTTCCTTTAAAAAAAAAAAGGAAAAATGAAGTAATTTTGTATTGTTTGATTTGCAATCTTCCGCAGGTATTTGACCCGGTTACTAGGGATGTTGTTTGTCATGGAGATCCTCTGGTTATAAAAGAAGGATATAAAAGCTTTCCTAGTGGGCATTCTTCATGTAATTCAGTAGAAAACTTACAATTTATAAAAATCAAAAACAGTAATAAAGATGATAACAATTATCATTTCAAAAATGCAGGGTCCTTTGCAGGTCTAACATACCTAGCCTGGTATATATCAGGGAAACTAAGAGTTTTTGATCGTCGGGGACATGTAGCTAAGCTGTGTATTGTACTAATTCCCGTTCTAATAGCTGTTCTTGTCGCTATTTCTCGCGTCGATGATTACTGGCATCACTGGACTGATGTCTTCACTGGAGCTCTTATAGGTTTCTGCCATTACCTTCCTTGTTCAATGATTCATTTCTTTAGAGAGCAGAATTTTATTTATTTATTTTTTGCATCTAATGCAGGAACAGTTGTAGCTGCATTTTGTTACTTGCAATTTTTCCCTTTCCCAAATGATACAGAAGGTATATATATCTCGATTAAACTTACCTAGGTCCAGTGTATCGGAATTTTTGATTTAGAATAATTTGCTGATATATTTTGACATTGAAATTGTAGGTTGGGCGCCTCATGCATTTTTTGCAATGTTAGCAGAGAAAAACAGAGTTGAGGGCTCAGGTAGAAGAAGTAATTCTGTTCGAATGCGAGGAATGTCGACAGACATAGAAACTGCTTTCATGGCTTCTGATGGCTGAGAAACAAATAAAGTCCTCCGTAATTAACTTAAACAGAAAGCAAGAAAAATAGATCATTTAATTAATTAATGGAGTTAAGTTTCAGAGTTGAGGGCTTCAGGTAGAAGAAGTAATTCTGTTCGGAATGCAGGAAGAAGTAATTCTGTTCGAATGCGAGGAATGTCGACAGACATAGAAACTGCTTTCATGGCTTCTGATGGCTGAGAAACAAATAAAGTCCTCCGTAATTAACTTAAACAGAAAGCAAGAAAAATAGATCATTTAATTAATTAATGGAGTTAAGTTTTATAAATGTAGAAGATTGTACACCAGTTCTTTTATTGCGAGTAATTTTACTGAGTCAAATTCTTTGCAAGGGAAATTGAAAATCGGACAAAACTACTGCAGAGAACAACAATATTTTGTATCAATACAGAAATCATTTTGTACCTTCAGATTTCAATTGTAATTATTTAATAATAACGATCTGATTACATTATAAACAGTAACTTATCACTGGTTAAACATGTTAATAAAAAAATTATATATAACTGCAGACTTTTTTTTTTTTTTTTTTTCTTTTTTTTTTTTTATCTCTTCGTTGACTCTTCAAAACTCTAGACACACGGCAACTATATTTGCACAAAAACTCTACCATGAATTATTGTTTAGAATGTAACTGTACCTAATAAGCAAGTATGAATATAACAAAGAAATCCCAACGCAAAACTAGAAGTCCACATTGAAAAATTATATAATGGGCCCTTATTAGCCATGAACTAAGAAAAAATTCTTAGCAAAACCAAAAACCATTTTTCAAAATCAAAAACTCATATTACAAACTGTAAAAGATTATAATTTTCAAAAGAATTGCAGAGTGGATAGTCATTCTATTCACCATAAATTAAAAACTAAATTTCAAACACTATGTTATTAAATACTATAAAAGAATAGCATTTAATATTTTGATTGGTCAAAATGCTAAAAGCTACTTAAAATACTATTGTCAAACATATCTAAAAGGTGATTTAATCAATTTATCCTTTATTTTTTATAATTTGAGAAGAAAATTAAATATTTTCTTAACCCGATAAATCTTTTAACGATTTTATACTTTAATTATAAAATTTTACGGTGCGTGTAAATCGATGTGACTTGCACAAAACAAAACAAAGAAATTATTATTTTTTAAAAAACGTGTTTGCCTTTTTTTAGGGGAAAACATTCAAAATACGGGGTCCACTACGGTTTTGATTTTAAAAAAGGTGAAATCGAACCGAAAAACCTTTTGACGGTTTTAAAAAAGCCTTCATTTCGATTTGAAACTGAATTTAGATAACTTTTTTTAAAAAAAGCCTTCATTTCGATTTGAAACTGAATTTAGATAACTTTTTTTAACTTTTTTAGTTTTTTTTAGCTAAATAAGAAAATTAATAACAAATAATAGTATTAAATTAAAAAAAGATTAAAAGAGTAAATTAATAGTTTTAAAATTTATGAAAAAAATTATAACTACACAAAAACATAAATTTAAAATTCTCCAATAGTATTAATTTCTATAAATTTAAATTGAGAGACATGCCAAAAAAGTGATTTGTACTTATTTATATTAGGAGAAATTCAATGGAATTTAGAGAAAAAGAATTGATATTTGTGAAAAAAAGGAAGATTATTAAAGTATTTATAGTCTAAATTTTTATTCATAAAAAATACCCTTCAAATTTTTCGTTTTTACCGATATAAAGGCTAAAAATGTCTTTTAATTTTATTTAACGAATAATAAAAAATACCATAATATGATTTTTTTTATTCCAAAATATATACTTCAAGTAGTACTGTTATAAAGGGGCAAAACGTCTTTCTATCTAAATTAAGAGTTAAAAAAAATTACAATATAAATTTTTATTCCAAAAAATACCCTTCAAATTGCCTTTTTTTACCGTTGTAAAGGAGAAAATTATTTTTTTTATTTAAGAGTCAAAAATAAATTTAAATAAATATTATTTAATTTATATGTATATTTTAAGCAAAAAAGTAAAAATAAAATATTAAATCCGAGGTGAACAATTTCCTTCAACTTTAACTTTTTCAACTTATAATTTATAAGTTATAATTGCATTAATAAATTTTAAGATGATAGTAAAGTGAAATACCCGAATTTTTATATTCGAAACTTTCGAATTTTTATTAAATCAAAAATATTTATTTTCAACTATACAGGCTATAAATACCAAATAATCTTAATTTCAGTCCAAAGTTTTGCGAGTTGCCCAAGCCCAAATATATTATCAGAATTTTCGATTCGAGAACAGTTAAAATTTTCGAGAAATAATATGAAACTCAACAATTAATCTATTATGAATATATATAAATTAATTATCCTAAAAATCAAATATCATTACTATTGATATTTTTATTATTATTGAGTAAATGGAGGAAATGTTAACTAAAATAATCAAAATAAATCGAATCGGATCCAGAATTCAAATTGATTTTTCGAAAACCACACGAGTAACCCAAAAACCAAGTGAAAAACCTGCAAAACGAGCAAGAACCGAGCCAAAATATTTAATTAAACCAAACCGGTTCGAATCGAACCGGAATGGTCTAGAAGCTCTAGACTTCTTCTTTCCTTTCTTCTTCTTTTCTCCTTCTTCTTCCTCGATCACGCGCGCAACAGCCTCCTCTTCTCCCCATGCGCTGCGTTTTCGGCCACCGCACGACGAGCACAGGGTGGCGGATGACTCACCTTGTGCCACTGACTAAGTTTCCAGCCTCCTCTCACGCGAACGGAGCTCCAGCGGCACGATCAGACCTATTTCCGCAAATCGCACCCTGCTCTTCGATTTTCCGACGAAATCTCGCCATTCAGTGGATATCAGGCGTCGGGAAGGGACCCAATCGACTCCTAGTCACCTCTGAAATGTTTCCCCTCTATTAACTTGAAGATGGAGACCGTATGGCGGAAGTGTCATCGAAGGCGGTGGTGGAGCAACTGTCAAGCTTGATTCCAACTGATCGGCTCTCCAAATGCACAAACGAAGCATGGATTCGAATTCCGGGTGAATTTTCGAGTCTGGGGGTATAGGAGCTGCTCAAATCTAGTAGAGGCACGATTTTCCACGGTGGCCAGCGGCGGCGGTCCGGTGACTGGCCGGCGACACTTCGGCGAGGCCCTAGGAGACAGAATGATCTCCTTTTCGTGCTGATCATGGAATCGTCACCCGATTCTCAATTGGTGCGTTCTACGACCAATCTCCCCATTTTCGGTATAAATTCCAAACTTAATAATTATTAGTTGATTAAATTGAATTGAATGAATAATCAATCAAATATAATTTTGCTAAGAATCAGTCGGTATAATGTGGATGCAAATTAATTCTGAATATTGTTAAATATATTTTGTGAACATTAGCTACGACTAGAAGGTTTGGTATTGAAATAAGAATTTAAAATATTTTGTGAACATTAAGCTAGCGCGATCATAGAAGCGTTTGGTATGAAATATGAAGAGTATCATTTCCTACAGCTAAATATTTTATGTAAGACTCACTTTAGGAAATTTTAATAAATATTCTGTTGGAGGAAAGAGTTATAATTTTAAGGCTTAGGACGACATGATTAAAAATAGTATAGAACGTCAATTCCCATTAATATCATTGAAATAAGCTTGTTTAGCACGCTGTTAATATAAATTTGGTATAATTGAATTTTTGATTTGGAATTTCATGTATTAAAGTGTGCTCATAATTAGTAGAAGTGATGGATGATATTTATGTAGCCTGAATGCTGGAATTGGGCTTTTGGTTTTTGGATTGCTCTCGCGCTCTCGCGCTCTCGCTTCAATTGAGTAACTCGAATTGATTGACTCAAATTTTGAGGCGTTATGAGTGGAGGACGGGATGAGTTGAAGTGTTGAAAGTTGAACTTGACCGTTGATGGTTTGTCATTTATATATTTAGTTTGATGGCATCGTTGGGTTTTAGAATTCGGTATAGTTCTCTTAGAGACTGGTAATTGCACCGCAAATTTTTGATTGAAACCTAGGACTAGTCTAATTAATAATATAATTAACTAGGTTTAATTAGATTTAAATTCTTTCATCTTGTGTCTTACGTATTGATTATTTATCATTAGTATTCACTCTCTAATTATATGGAAATGTGATATCTATTTTCATCATTATGTTTGTTATTGTTATTTAATTTATTTATCTATTTCATTCATTATTGTTGTTTTGTTAATCTATTTATTTATTATTGTTGTTTATTGTTTAATACTATTTATTTGTTTATTTGCATTTGAATTGGAGATGTCTAATTGTGGCATTGCATTGGATCAAATGGTTTAATCTGATTAATATGCACTTGCATTTAATTTGCCAATGGCTTGTGATATGTTATCTGATGGCATGTCGGATTTTAATTAGCCAGTTGTTTGCCTTTGGTGTGGCGCTGCATTACTTTCCTGCTACACATTGCCTTATTTTTTTTAATGATGTGTGTGTGCGCAGTTGTGGGTGCATGTAAGTTGAGTCATCATGGTTTGTGAGGACGGCTTCCGATAAAGCATGAATCTGATTATGATGAAATTATTGCAAATATTTAGGGATACCGACCATTCGGCCGGGGGAAAAATGGGAGGTATCAGGCACTCCCCTGTGATGCACCTGATACCATGTAATATAATAGAAAAACCATAGGTTTGGCCTCCTGTATCTTGTCTATTTTGCAACGGCTGAAATAGAATCTGTGATTGTCATGTGAAGCCCACAATGGTGGTACCTCTCCATGTTGTGCTGCAAGACCTGTGATCGTAGAATTATGAGTCGTGAGACCACCGGGTTGCCCGCCCTGTTGGTTATGAAAAACAAAACAAAATAAAAGTGAATGTGATAGTGATGGAGAAATATATGTAAAAAACCGCAATGTGAGAGGATGTCATTGTGAGGATTTAGGACGGAATACTCGGCTCACATTTGGATCTTATGGTGTTGAATTTCGAGACTCCCCAGTTGCCACAAGTTTGGATTGAGCATGTAGAGCATGTGCAGAGTATCAGGTTCATTAT